ACACCTGACAGAAGGTTAGAGATGGACCGGACTGACACCTGACAGAAGGTCAGAGATGGACCGGACCGACACCTGACAGAAGGTTAGACATGGACCGGACCGACACCTGACAGAAGGTTGTACCCCCACACACTTCTGCTGAATAAGATATCTTTTGCACATTACAACTGTGAAACATAATAAAAAACAAAAGCATGATGGAAACCTCTCCTCAGTCAAACCTGCTGACTGGCAGCTTTTAACACTTTCAGTGACATTTTAAAAAGCTAAAATGAGCAGAGAACTGCTGCTCTCCTGAATAATGCATGTTATGAAATGATGATGAGAACCTTAAGTCATTCTGAGGTCATATTCTAACATGATGAACTGGAACTCTGAGGAACATTTGGACTTATCCTCTGAGGATTTTCCATTTTAGAAATCTTGATGGAGTTTCAGACAGAAGGACTGAGCGTTTAACCACAGCTGTAAATTTCTCTTTCCATTACATTTACAGCCTCACTTATTAAGCAGCTCTGACAGTAAAACAGAAGACAGTCACTCCTCAAACACATGAATTTTACGCTTCCAATCTATCAAAATGAAAAAAGCTTTTTAAACAAAAGTGTCGAAATATTTTAATGAAATCCTCAAATAATAAAAAGTAAAGAGAGTTTTTAGTTTGTTAAACTTTTCTCTTATTAAATGTTTGTAATAGTTGGTTTATGTCTGCAGTTAGACCTCTGACTCAGATTTTTATCGTTCTTGCTGAGAAGTGGAGGAGTTTCAAACCTGCAGGACTTGTTTCATGGGTAGACCACGGAGACAGGCCAGATCTTTGCAGCCTGTCTTCTTCAGGAACACCAGATTGTCAGATTCAGCTTGTTTAAGTGTTGCATTGTAGACGTATGAACCGCTCATGTCCACCGCAGCATGAAATAGGTCTTTGGCCAGTGGGGACATCATCAGGGTCCAAACTGATGTTCCACCTGCAGACAGAAGACACAGGTGAAGCTGATCCCATCAGGTGTGTTTCACAGAAGAAAATAAAACTGTTTTTCAAACAGATTTTAAAATGTGAGTCAAAACATGAAAGAATGAACCTTGTTACAAAACCAAAGTGTGAGTGTGTGTCATATTAATGATGGAGTTTGTTGTGTATACTGAGTATGTATTGGATTAAAGTGTGTGAAATTAAAAACGTATAGGAGCCGTTCCAATGTTTACCAGCACTAAGGGGCTGTATTTCAGGGATGGGGCTATTTAAGGTTAAGTGTGGGTCTGTTCAGGTGTTGTGATGAGGAGGGGCAAACAGTTTTCTGTTGTGTTTAGTTTAAAGATATGATGCATCATGTTGGTTCTAAAGGAAATGGTAACATTTATGGACGTTGTACCACGAGTGGAAACAAAGACTGGAATGGTGAGCTTCAGTTGAGTGCATGTAAAACAAAGCCTACAAGGATGGATAACAACCAGTAGCCTAAAATACAGGATTTTAGCCGCTAAACAAGGTATTATAGCATTAGCATGGTGTAGGCTACATTGCCAATGGTCTGTGTGGGACATACTGTAGGTGCATGGATCACAGGTTTACTGACACAGGTGGGTTTTCAAACCATCTGAGTTCCACTGCAGCCACAGGAAGTACCAGGTTTCCTGAGTCTAAACCTAACATTTTATGAATTAAAATGGRTTTTTTAGCAGACTTTTCTACGTAATGGCTGCCTTTGAGTGGAGCAGAATATCTTTGATCAAGTAAAGCTGGACTTGAAATATGGTTCGGAGGAATTCCATCAATACTTGGAGTGAAGGGTTGAAAAATCCTTGGTGAACTCCTTTCACACAAAGTTTATTCTGTTTTCTTCACAAACAATCAAATCATCCACATTTTGTCCTGCAAATAATAAAATTCTGAATTGACTGTGTTCACAGAAATCTGCAGATTTACCTCAGATTTCATTTATCTCAGTGCTCCCTGCTGCTTTGTTGTGACTAACGTGTTTCACCAGGTGATTCAGCTCCACACTTTTATAAACTTTATGTAATATTTTCTGACCTGAACTTTGTCCAAAAATGGTGACTCTTTTGGGATCTCCTCCAAACAAATGGATGTTGTTCTGGACCCACTTTAGAGCTGCAATCTGGTCCAGGAAACCATAGTTCCCTGTGGAGAAGAGGAGGAGGTTATAAAAGGATCGATTACTCTGGAACCTGATTTGATTCGACCTTCTTTCCACCGTCCCATTTCCTGTGTCAGAACCCAAAGTGGCTGACTGTGTGAACTAAATCCACTCATCTGCAGCTGAGGGAGAGGAGAAACGGGTCAGGGAATCAGAATTAGCTCGTGGAGGATGAAGAGGACTGGAGTGTCACGCCACAACACATCACGTGATGCCAGGCTCTCTCATTTAATGAGACATTTCACATTAACTTCACTGCGTGCCTGTTTGGATTATGTAACAGAAATCACGCAGCTGGACTCACAACACACACACATTAAGACTGGAATGAGCTCCATTTATCCAGATCACATTAACCTTCATTAAGTATTCAAATGTTAATGGAGCTGAGTGACTCCAGCCTTCGTTTGGACCCATGAAACAATGAAACACCATCAAAATTTAAATGTTCTGCTGAAGAACAGCTTATCTCAACACAGACGCTGTAAAAACATAACAACTTTATCAAATTCATGAGGATAATTTGAATATTTAATTGAGCTTGTAAAGATGTTTTTACATTAAATCTCTGGCTGGTTTTATTTTACTTTAAAACAACTAACGTGTGCAGGAAAAGGCTGGTTCTAACAGAGCAGGAGAAAAACCCAGCTGAGCTCAGTAAACACTAATAACTGATCCCAAGTGTGGAGAGGTGCAGCATTAAGGCTGTTTGTAATGAATAATCATGTGGAGAAAGGCTAATTAATGGGTTGATTAAATAAATTACAGCACTGACCACTGAGCTGCCTCAGCCAAGAGAAATGAAAAGCACAGTTTGATGATGAACATCAGCCACTGAATGGTTTGTTTCTGTCAACCTCTATAAACATGTTTTACGATGTTAAATGTGATATTTACTAAAACTGACAGATATTCACGAGAGAACAGCTAAACAACAAACCAACAATCACAAGAGGTTGTCACAGTTTAAACTCATTCTGCCCAGAACCATCTGAGTGTTTAGTAAAGAAAAAGACTTGATCTTTCTTCCACTGGTTTGACTCCATCAGGTGATACAGTTTGTTTTATTTTCAATAATGCACTGTTAGAAACAGCTCCACGCAGAATAAAGGAGGGCWCCAGGAGAGTCTCCTCTCCTTAAACTGAACCTGGCAGCAACACTTAGCTTTGACCTGAAGAAACCATGAGACCTGGAGAACCATGTCCTCAGGACAGATGAGAGCAGGTTCAGGTTGTTTACCCATAATGCACTGCAGCACAAACACCTCACAACAACTAGACTGAATGATGAGTCCAGCTCTAAATGTTTTCTTTAGAGGAATGTCCTGGTGCACCTGAAGAATCCAGAGAGAAGTAAATGTTGAGTGGGTCCTCTGATTCCTTCAGATGATTTCACATRAACTCAGCTTTCTAAGCACTGCCTCCACACGAGATGATGACAATCAAAACATGCAAAACACATTGTTGTAGTTAACTTGGGACTGAAAAGTTCAATAAAAAACAGGAAGTGACTAGAGTTTAAAAACTGCAACTCAGCACTTTTCAGTCTGAATTGGGAAAGCTCCTCAGATAAAAACAAAAAGTCCTGATGTCTTTGATAGTTTCTCTTTCTATATAAAAACCAATCAAATAACTACGATTGTTTTATTGTACTTGTTACTTGAGGAGAGAGATGGTCTTCTGGGGGGCTGTAGGAAGCCACAGACACTAAGCCTGATCCCCAAAACATCACTAACCGTGTTTCCATCTAGACTTTTTGATGCGCATTTAGAAGTGTCGCATTAAAAATGAGAAAAAAAGTCGGATGGAAACAGCAAAATTCAAAAAAAATAAAAAAATCCTCAATTCACTAAAAAGTTTTTACGCTCGCTTGAGGTGGTTTTTGGACGATTCACAAAGTAGTTAATGAGCAAAACGAAACACGTTTGCCGAATAAATTCTGACGTAGCGCATATTTACCTCACGTGATGTTCAGCTGTTTCCGCTTCCCTGCCTCGTCCCGGATGTTATCATAAACGCGCGAAAACATTGCGTTTATTTCCCTACGTCTCCTGGCAGAGTTAAACATAGCCTGTACTAGCTGAGTAGATAGAATAATTACAACTTGCCCAATAGCAAGGCATTCACAAAAAAATCGCTCCATTGTCCCGAAATGATTAGCCTCTGCTAGTTAGCAAGTTTCACTTCCTGTTTACTACCGCAAAGCTTGTCGCCGACGTCTGATGTAATCATGCATTGCGTAGCCTCGTCTGACGTAGTCTGATGTAATCACACGTTGCGTAGCCTCGTCTGACGTAATCACACGTTGCGTAGCCTCGTTTATTCGCATCAAACTGTCGAGAGGGAAACTAGGTGGAAAACTGTCTAGATTCAAATTTTTATTCATTTAATTTTTTGCGAACTTTGAAAAGTTCAATAAAAATTCACTCTACATCTGGATGGAAACGTTTAGTGAGAGCCACTCCTCCTGCAGGCAGGTTTCTGTAATCTAACCTGATGTAAGAATAATGTGTGTTCATTAACTGAAATTGTGACAAAACACATAAATATTGAATAGATTAAAGTGTAAAGAGAATGGGACCATACAACCCAGATCTGGTTTATGAGTGAGCTTTATTGCTTACACTGAAGCAATCCGAGCAACGCTGTCCGAAACTGGAAGTTCTGGTCTCTAATATTCAAGGATCTTCAGTGTCTGGTGCGCCCACTACAGGCCTACTGCTGAATCGCAGACACTCTGAACAGCAATGCTCATCTAATGTTTTTATTAACGGTTTATTATGTGTTGTCAAGGTGTTTCAGGCATGTAACTAAATCTATTTTAATCAAGACATAACAATAGATTAGAAAAGTCAAGCCTTAAAAAGGAAAACTAAGAACAGGATGTGGTGCTTTTAAATCAGTGTCTAACTGACTGATAAATTCCTTCACTGGACTAATGTGTCTTCTTCATCTGCAGGATTTGAACCAGCAGCTGTTTAAGAACACTAACAGCTCAGTGTTCAGAGAGTTTGTCTCTTACGTTGTTGCCACAGACTGACCTGAGGTGTTTTTAGGAGAACCTTCTCTCAGCATCTCCAAAGCGAGGAATCCAAACGGGCCGAGTCTGTAGTTGAAGCTGACGTAGACCATGTTTGTGTCTGCAGCGAGCCTCTCACTGGGAGAATAGCCCGGTTCTGCTCCACTCAGCATCTGTAGGTACCCGCCGTGGATCCAGACCATGACGGGCAGCTGGGCGTCAGGCTGCAGCGTGGGCGTCCACACGTTGAGGAACAGGCAGTCCTCCTGGCCCAGAACTGCCCCCGAGCTCCCCATCGGCCTCACCTGAGGGCACATGCTGCCGAAACGGTCAGCGATGGTCGCCTTGCTCCTGCAGACCGGGTCGACCGGAGGAGCCCAGCGCAGGTTTCCTACAGGTGGGGCAGCGTAGGGGATACCCTTAAAGGAGTACGCTCCGTTTTTCTGCAAAACAAAAATCCTAATTAATCAGATAGAAGTTGTAGGGGTCACCTCGAGTGAAGAAACAGGAGTTACTGCCTCAAAGCAGGTCTCGCACAGGCCTGAGAACTGGCAGGAAYGCTGGACTCTTATTTTAGGCCATGACGGGTCATTTTACACACGAGGACTTCAGTTCTCTCTAATCAGATATTAAMMRRAAMMA